ATTGCCACTAGACAGGTGGACTTTCTGGGTTATAAAATTGACGCCTCTGGCATTCACCCCCTGGAGTCCAAGGTTAAGGCAATCCACGAGGCACCCACTCCAACCTCCAAAACTGAACTACAGGCGTTCTTGGGGCTATTGAACTTTTACGCATCCTTTTTGCCACATAAAGCATCAGTAGCTGAACCCCTACACAGATTACTGGATAAAAAGTCACCGTGGCACTGGGGGCACAAAGAAGACCATGCTTTTCACGCCGTCAAATCACTACTCACGTCAGAGGCGGTACTTATTCAATTCGACCCTAACCTCCCTTTAGTGCTGGCAGCAGACGCCTCCCCTTTTGGAATTGGGGTGGTACTAAGTCACAGGCTTCCCAATGGCGCCGAGGCTCCCATCGCCTTTTTCTCAAGGACGCTCTCTGCAACGGAGCGCAATTACAGCCAGATCGATAAGGAAGCCCTAGCAGCTGTTGCAGCCGTGAAAAAATTTCACGAATTTCTCTTTGGCCATTTTTTCGAGCTGGTCACGGACCACAAACCCCTCCTGGGCCTACTAGCCGGGGACAAACAGACCCCTCAAGTCCTCTCCCCTAGGATGACAAGGTGGACCCTCTTCCTGGCAGCCTACTCCTACAGACTTATACACCGCCCGGGTAAAACACTGTCCCACGCTGACGCACTCAGTCGCTGCCCCTTGCCGGCTCTGGCTGAAGACCCAGCTCCTGTCCACGCTATTTTCGAGATCACCCAGTTGGACCTACCCATCACTGCCCTGGACATTGCTGCTAAAACCAAGGCAGACCAAACGCTCGCCCAGGTGCTCGACTGGGTGAGGAGGGGGTGGCCGGGTGGCAATGTTGATAACAAATTCACACCTTTTAAGACTCGCATGCAGGAGTTGTCCAGTTTGCAGGGCTGTCTACTATGGGGCACTCGAGTGGTCATCCCGACCTCACTGCGTACCCGAGTTCTGGAAGCGTTGCACGAGGGACATCCTGGCATCGTGAGAATGAAGGCATTAGCACGCAGCTACGTGTGGTGGCCGGGTCTCGACGAGGACATTGTCAATTGGGTAAGTTCCTGCAGCATTTGCCAGGAATCCCGTCCTGCTCCCCCCATTGCCACCCCTACTAGATGGGAAAGCGCCAGCGCTCCTTGGTCCAGAATTCACATCGACCTGGCCGGCCCTCTGCATGGGAAGATGTTCCTAGTGGTCGTGGACGCCTATTCCAAATGGATTGACGTAGCACAGCTATCCACGACCACCACACTAGCAATCACCAACGTGTTAACACGCCTGTTCGTAACGCACGGGCTACCCGACTCCATTGTCTCCGACAATGGCCCACAGTTCGCATCGACTGAGTTCAGCCGTTTCGCTGCCAACCTGGGTATCCGCCACATTTTCACAGCCCCATTTCATCCTGCCAGTAACGGATTGGCTGAAAGGGCCGTCAGGACCACTAAAGAAGCCCTGGCAAGGTTCAACAAGGATGACTGGCACCACAAACTCTCGCGGTTCCTGATGAGCCAGCACTCAACTCCTTGTTCAGTCACCAATAAGTCCCCAGCTGAGCTCCTGATGGGCAGGCGTCTGAGGACTGTATTGGACAGACTACACCCACAATACTGCCCTGACTCTCCCCTCGCTTCCACATCGGGGGTTAGACATTTTATCTTACAGGAGCCAGTTTTCGCGAGGAACTTCGCTGGAGACCCCCTGTGGATCCCGGGCGAGATCGTAGCTATCACCGGGCCGCGGTCGTATCGGGTCAGACTGGAGGATGGCCGCGTCTGGAGAAGGCACATAGACCAACTGCGTAGACGCCTCAGCACCATCGCCAGCAGGGACCCAGAGTCACAAGACGAGGGGAGGCCTCATCCTCACCCCCACATCCACATCACGCCCGGCGATCAGTTCACACCTACAGCCGGTCCCGAAGGCCCGAACACAGACAGCGGCGCCCAGACGGTTGACCAGCCCGATCCAGTCTACGGGAGCACATCCCCAGTGATCAACCCTACGAGCCCCGGGCAGGCCCGAACCGAGGGGCACACTGGTGACACTTTGCCGACTCTGCCTTCCCAGGCAGACCCCGGACGGACAGACGACGTTCCAGAACTACGCCGTTCCGGGCGCCAACATAAACCTCCTGCCTACCTCAAAGACTATGCGTGTTCGCATCTGGGGGGAAGGGGTGTTATGTCCTGAGAACTCTAGGAGTTCTCACTCTGGTCCATTCACTTTGTGTGGGCGTTCTCCCCCCTTTCCTCATTGGTTGGTTCTCCCCAGCAGCCAGCTATAAAAGCAGGCTGCTGGGTCCAACCAGTTGCTGATTGCTGCGAGCCAGTCCCAGGCGTGGCAAGCACGATCAGCCCTTTATTGTATAATAAAGTATTGTTGCACTCATGCTCTGGTTCAGCCTCTCATTTCCCAAACTTAACACAGAGTTTGGACTGAAATCCCAGTCCAACTTCATTTGGCAGTCTGGGGCAATCCAGTCTGAAGCTGGCTTAAGCAGCACAGGAGATGAGCAACAGTATGGAATTTCCCTCACACTGTATTTATTACTTGTGGACAACCAATCACAAAACCTGAATGCGAGTGACAGTTCCCCTGACATCACAATTAACCACATCCTGTCATACCCCAGGTAAGCAGCCTTCAGGGGTTATAATTCTGCCTACATGGGGAAAAGATAATACACAGGAAAATCTTTAACACCCCAAGGTAGGACACAAGCTTCCTCAGTTTTGCTGTGTAATTTGTGGAACTACCCAAAAAGGTCAGTCCTAGATTTATTAAATCTTCTTGAATTGGTCAAATTGTTTTTAGACTATTTAAAATTCTTGCCTTTTAATAAGACTATATTCACTGTTTCAGTAGGAGAGGGCCTTAATACTCATTTGAAAGCAAGGAAAGCTTCAGTTACGAAATGTGCACGGCTGTGAGGTTCACCTTTTCTATTGGATTAAAGTGGGAAACGGATCACTGATTTCCTATTGCCATTAATGGTAAGAAATCAAATAAGCTGTTCTCCACTAGCAAGTCGATCACCTGACTAGGAACCAGATCCTTGGCTTCTCTTTGACTATTGCCTTACTATCTGCTTTGCTGTCGCTCTGAGTATGGATCAGCTACAGTTAAATGAATGAGCCAAGCTGATTCAAAAAGTTCAGAATTTAGATAAGTCTTTGAACTTTGCCCACCTTTACCTAACATGGTACAGACATGCCTTGATAATATTTCTTTTTCGGTATCTTCCTGATTATTTTTTTATTTGTAGGGCTGCTCGTCTTAAACACAACTCTGGGTGGCTCACAAGAATAAAACCAAAAGCATAAAATCATAAAAACCGACAAAAATCTGGTGCCTCCATCATCTTTTTGAGATGTTTCACAACAAGCCTCAATTATTCTCATGCTATCTAGCATCTAGTTTCTATGGTCTTCAGAAAGGTTAAGAAGGTTGGGATCAGCTGGATCACCAGAAAGTGGGTGCTGCATAAGATAGGAGCAGCCACACACACAAAAGGCATACTTCCAATGTCCTACTAAGATTCCCCCCTATGATTTCAGAATAGGATTTGGAATGTGCCTATCTCTCCAATCTGGTAGGAAGGGAAGATATTCTCAGGGAGAGGTGGTCCCACAGATAACCTTGCTTTATGCCAGGTAAGGTTTAAAAAGTGATAACCTTGAACTCACCTTGGAGGAGACTGGGAGCTTGCACAGGAGAGGGGTAATGTAAGTGAACACCAGTACTCTGCATGTTTCCGTATTCTGGACCAGTTGTAGCTTCCAAGTGTTCTACAAGGAAAGTCCCACGTCCCCAGTCTGTGAATGTGACAAGCTTACATCTTCCTTAACTTTGCAGGTATCAATACTGTTAGAAAGAAAGAAAAAAAGTTATGTTTTGAGCCAGGACTTAAAGAATCCAGAAAGTAGGCAGGCACCCGAGACAGAGGGCTTTATTTCCAAGAGCAATCATCTGTCAAAAGTGGCCACAAGTCCATTTTCTAGGATGGATTCTTTTGTAGGAAAATCTTTCCATTGTTTCTCAAAAGCCCATCCTCTAGAAACATTTTGGAAACTTCTGGAGCACTCTGAGGCCGGACACCTTAGAACCTAGAATAATAGAGTTGGAAGGGACCTTGGAGGTCTTCTAGTCCAACCCCGTGCTCAAGCAGGAGACCCGATATCATTTCAGACAAATGGATGTCCGCTCTCTGTTTAAAAGTCTCCAGTGATGGAGCACTCACACCATCTGAAGGCAAGCTATTCCGTTGGTTGATTGCTCTCACCATTAGAAGTTTTCTCCTTAATTCTAGGTTGCTTCTCTTCTTGGTTAGTTTCCATCCATTGTTCCTTTTGGTGCTTTGGAAAATAATTTTGAGCCCCCTTGTTTTTGTAAGAGCACCTCAGATAAGGAACACTGCTATCATGTCTCCCCTAGTCCGTCTTTGCATTAGACTAGAGGTACCCAATTCCTGTAACGTTCTTTGTATGCGTTAGCCTCCAGTCCCCTAATCATTCTAATTGCTCCTCTCTGCACTCTTTCCAGAGTCTCAACATCTATTTTATATTGTGGCGAACTGGATGCAGTATGCCAAGTGTGATCTGACTAAGGTTTTGTAAAGTGGTGCTAGAACTTCACATGATCTTGATTCCATCCCTTTATTAATGCAGCCTAGGATATTGTGATTTCCCCCTCGCCCACTTATTTATCATTTCAACTGGCTTCCTGCTTATTAACATTGCAGATGAAAGTGGCCATCACACAGAACCACATTGACTTGAGGCGGGGACAATAGGAACAAGCTAAGTAATGTGAACAAAAGATACATTATTGACCTCATGATAGGTGGATAGCACTTAAAGGCTTTTGGGGTTAACAGTTGTAAAGTGTGCCCATTCATTCAAAGACTAGCTAAAATGTTATTTTCTTTTTCTTCTTTAGGGCCAGGTATTTCCAGCCACTACCAGTTCCCAGCTTGCATGACTTTGCCAAGACATTCCAGGGTGCCTTCTGTCCTCTTCACAGGATGGACAAAAGATGGAATAGACTATTACAAGATCCTGGGGGTCACTCCAAATGCCTCCTATGATGATATTAAAATGGCGTAAGTTGGTCTTCCACATGCTCAGCCTTCCAGCTTTTAGTTCCCATTGTGAGCGTGTGGACGATTCCCAAAGCCACCAGTTTTCTCTATCTGGGCAAGTAGAATTTCTTTATACTTTCTGGGATCTTCTGTTTTTTAATCATGAAAATTAATCAAGTATGTTCAATTTAATTTGTTTTCATTTAAATTTCAGTAGGCATCAATTACCCATACCTTTTAATAGCTTTTACTTTCTGGGTTGTTTTCTTTCTTTAAATTAAAATTAGAGGGTGGGGAAGGAAATTCATTAATTTAAGCTTCTTAATTCTGAGCCAGAAGTCTGAAACATCCTTTTAAAATAAGGATCAGCAATCTCGAGTCACTGTATATTGTTGAACAAGCACCCATCATTCCTTATCATAATGGCCATTGAAGTGAGACATTGTGGGCATTACAAGCAGTAAATCCAGAATACCACGTCTTGCGAATCCTTGTTTTTAAAACTTAAATTTAGCAAGATTATTGGCAAGATCACCTTGTTTAATTATTCAATGAAGCTGATCAATAATGATTTGATGGCAGATAATCAAAGTACAGAGGAAAGGAGGAAAAAAAAACAAATCCTGGTAGGTTTTGAGAACCATAACAGTTTGACAATAGTTTTTAAACAATGCCAAACCCAAATAAGACTACTAAAAACCAAAAAGCTTGGAGTAAATAAAAGTATAGGTTTAGTTCTATTAATTAATTGGATGTATACTCCATGTTTCTGCCATGAAGTGAGGTTCAAGGCAACTTATAACAGAAGAAAAAAATACTGAATTAATTGAAATAAAAAAATAAAGCTAGCATTATAATATAGAAAAAGTAGTAATAATTTAATAATAGCATTGAAACTATTCAGAAGACTACATTGAAAAGGTGCATCTAGCTTGCTTTCTAGAATTCTTGCCTGAGTCCTACGTTCAGATGTAGTTTATCTGTGATGATACTGTTCTCATAGGAACAGAAAAAATGCCATCTGGATGAGCTTAGGTCCTGTGTAAAAAAAAACTACCTGAATTTACTGTGAAAAGAGCGCACGCCCAATCCTTTCTTAGTTGTTCTCAAAGTGTGGTGTGAGAACTTTTCAGGGGCCCCACAAAGTCAAATGAATACACACTTTCAAATTTCAAGTCATTTTAGAAAAATTAGGATTCCATACTTAGATCCATAATTTTGATAAAATTTTCTGCTGAACAGCATCATGTGTAGGGTGGAAAATTTCTTTGCCACAACCATTGTAGAAAGCAAGAATGCCTCAGCACAGTGGAACTTCTACTTCTTCCTATTGCCCCCTTTACTGTAATATTTGAAGAGGGCGATGTTGGGTTTCTGTGTGAGCATAGAAATAATGGGTTGAAATGTGCTGAGTTAGCATGATAGTCCTTGTTTATGTAGTTAGCATGACTTCAGCTTTTCTTTACACACCTGTGAATGGAAGGATTGGTTAAATTACTTCTTTGTCACCATTGTAATTGCAAATGGTTGCTAAAATGAGGCCATCACTAAACAACTATCTATATTGTCTTTGATACTAGTGGGAGCAATCTATCCAATATGCTTGCTGCTGATACTTTGAGAAATATTCCAGAATGAAAGAAATCTTAGAATGGAATTAATAATTTGCTCAGGAGACTTATTATTTGCGGCCTTCTCTCTAACTGCACAGCTACAGAATGCAGCTGAAGAAGTGGCATCCTGACAAAAACCCGGATAACAAAAAAGAGGCTGAAGAGAAGTCAAAGGAGATAATGGAAGCATACAAAGTGCTGTCAAATGGTAATGATCCAGCATCTTCATCCTTCCTCAATTACCCTCCCTTCAGTGGTGCCCTTACTTAGCATTACCAACACATTGATTTAGCATCATTCCAGATGGATGAATCCTCGCAACAACTGCAATGAGACCTTTTACAAGTAATGAGTTCTTTTTTTAAATGGAAATTAGAAAGACAGGACCTTTAGGAAAATGAAAAGACTTGCAAAGACGGTATGTTTGCATGCACATATGATGACAGGTTGAGAATATGATAGCGTGTTCTCCATTGCTTCATAATGCTGTTCATGGATTTGAGTGGGGAAGATATTGTTTTTAGCCTATGATATGATTTGGGCCACTGATTGAGAAGTTCACATCAATTACCTTCATTTTTTAAAAAATAATTCCTAAATTCCTCCTTAATTGCAATCTACAGCATGAGGGGCAGTTTTAGTTCTCTAAATATATTTTACTTATATAATATTCTTCCCATTTATTCCTTTTTACAAGTAATAAAACTGAACCTTCTGAAACCCTGTTCATTCATGGTGTTAAACCACACATGCTTTTACAAAAAATAAAATAAAAGAACATTCTGGAAATCCTACCTCAAGGGTGAGATAAAGGATCACTGCCCAGTTTTCAGAATTTGGAATACAAGGAGGTATGAAAACTGGGAAGAATTCTGATAGTCTCAGAGTTACAAATAATCCCCCATCTTGAAATGGTAGATATTATTATTCTTGATATACAGTAAATTTCTATATGTCTCTGGATGTTACTTTAATAATATAGTTTAAAAATCTTCCAAGAGAATCTCAGAAAGTAAATCACACAAACTGAAGTTTTATTCACATGAACTTTGGAAGACTCATGGTGGACCTGGATTGCCCTTTTGGGCTGTGTGTTTTGAGTTTTAGTTTTGATTTTATTTTTTTTAGTGGATTTTTATGGAGTGACACCGTAGAGTCAGTTTTATGTTTTATGGATTTTTATTGTATTTGATGACTTTTATTGGGTTTCTGTGTGAGCATAGAAATAATGGGTTGAAATTTTATTGTACTTGATGACTTTTTATTGTATTTGATGACTTTGTAGCATGCAAATGTATGAATTAAATACATGACATTAGGAAACGGAAGTATTGGCTGTAATATGAGTGAAACAATGAAAGCCATGTAGTTTGCTAGATCATATGCAGCTTGGCATATCATTCCACAATACAAGATTAGAAAGAGCTATTGTGGGAAAAAGGAACAAAAGCAGGAAGAGCCCTGAGAACATCTGTCTAGTCAAATAAGAGGCATGCAATGCAGTGTCAAAGAAGGAATAAGGAGTCAAAGCAGGGAAGCAGATCTTCCACCCCATTTACTGATTAATAGATCCAACTCAAAATTAGGAGATAAATATGTTTTGTTCTGAAACTGGAAAAAAATGTTCCATTCCAGAAGATCTGCTGCTTCAGATTGGCATGGTTCAGCAGGAAAACAAAACTGAATGTTTTGGCAGTTCTGGATTTTGAATGAAGTCACATGCAGAGATCCCTGAAGGACCCTGCAATGACTTTTTAGAGTAAATAAGGTGAAACCAGAGGTGGGTATTCAGCAGGTTCTGACCAGTTCTGGAGAACCGGTAGTGGAAATTTTGAGTAGTTCAGAAAACCGGCAAACACCACCTCTGACTGGCTCCGCCCCCATCTATTCTCTGCCTCCCGAGTCCCAGCTGATTGGCTGGGTCTTCTTTTGTTGCCCTGCACAGGAGAATGGAGCTGGAAAGCAGATTAGTGGGGTTGGGAGGGAATGGGATTTTGTAGTAATCTTCTCCCAGGAGCGGGGAGGGAATGGAGATTTTACAGTATCCTTCCCCTGCCACGCCACCAAGCCACGCCCACCAAGCCAAGCCAAGCCATGCCCAACAAGCCAAGCCACACCTACCAAGCCACGCCCACAGAACCGGTAGTAAACATTTTGAATCCTACCACTGGGTGAAACCAATGCACATCTCCCCCTCTCTCCTGCCCTCCCCAGTGCAGCCACCCAATTGGCCTGCTTCCTAATTTTCTCTTCCTTCCCTTCTCTCTGCTGCTATGGCTGTGTATGTGCGACATCTCTACTTAAAATCTTAGTTTTTCAAGATAGAATACTATGAAATCACTATAATCTCTCTAATTCCAAACACAAAGAAACACTTAACTGTTAACACTTAATTAATAATTGACACTTAATCATAATTAACACTTAATAATTGTTGTTCATGTATGACAGTGACTAAGTCATTTTGGTGCTACATGTTTATGTGTTAACTTTCTTAGCTAGTATTGTGTTTAACAACAGCCCTTGATTCTCCCTATTTGTCATTAATTCTACTGAAGAATTATCCTGTATATTGTATTAAATTCATCTATTTTTTTTTCTGCACAAAGCTTCATAATTCAAGAATGTGGAACAACCATGGCGCTTCCAGTTGCAAGGCTTCGGCGGCGGCAGGAATCCGCTTCTCTGCGGGTCCCTGCTGCGCTCGCCGCTGAGGTACCCCTGATCCAACTGGATTTGGGGGTTGTCGCTGCCCTGAAGGGGCAGCGGAAGACAGAGGAGATCCGGGCAGGGGTCTGGGGATATCGCACCCCCTTTCCCCAGCTGGCTAGACTCCTTTTTCCTGAGGCAGTGGAGCGGCTGTCAGTAATGGCAGCCACAAAGAAATCTTCAACCGGATAAGATTGTGCAGGAGGAAGAGCCAGAAGGAGAAGTTTTCTTGGCTGAACCGGGACATTAAGTTACTTTCAAAACACCCTGGAAACCTGACTTTTGGATTGATACATTTGTTTCCAAAAGAATTTGTTACAATGGCGAAAGTGCTGAAGGAAAGTTCACTCCCCTTCCTTACGGAGAAAGCAAAGGAGCACAGAAAAACCTGCTTTTTAAAGGTAAAAATAAGCTCTCTGTTACAAGTGGGAAGGAGAGGACTAAAAAAAAAAATCTTTAAAACTTTGTTGGAGGAGACACCTTGAAGATTATAAGACCATTAATCAACTGTAATACAGCTTTTAAAATACATTTGGGATTTTGCCCCTGGAGGAAAAATTGTAAAGAGAAGAAGAGGAAATAATTTCTGTTTGTTTGGACTGTTTGGTAACTTTGACATTTGGAAATTACTTTAAGATTGAAAGCATCTGGGTTGTTTTTAAAAATTTACAATGGCACCATCTGTTGATGAACTAAAAATGGAATATGAAAAATTAAAAGAAAGACAGCAAAATGGTAAGGTTTCCTTGGGAGCTGCCTTCCACTTTTTAGAAATGGCGGTTTCTACGTACCAGCAAATACTTGAGGAAGGAGAAGGAGAAGAAGAAGAATAAAAGGAAGAAGCCATTTTTAATGGACTAAAAAGTTCAATTAAGAAAGAAAATGGGAAGAGAGGAAGGAAAAATGAGAATTTAAGATTTAATAAAACAACCAAGAAAAAGAAAAATAGGGTGAAAAGAAGGTACTACGTTAGAAAGCAATTGAAAAGAGAATTACAACAGAGAGGGGAAATTAAAAAGGGGGAGGCTAGGAGAGGGGGAAAAAAAAGACCAGACTGGAGAAGAAAGGGAGGCAAAAAGAAAAAAAAAGCCACGGGCTAGAACAAGATCTTAAAAAGCAATTTTTTTTTAGGGATGAAGGATAATGGATAGTGCATAATTAAAGAAGATTCTGCAAGAGTGCATAAGATAGTATTGTACTATTTGCATTTGAAATAGTTTATTGGAATATTTAATAAAATATTAATGTTTAATAATGATAGATTTCAATATTTAATAAAATATTAAGGAGAATGTGTAAAATGATTAATGCTTAGTTATAGCCTAATTCATTATTGTCTGAATGTTATTATAACCTTAGTATTTTATTTTCTTATTCTAAAATAATGTACTAATCAGAATTAGAATTAGAATGGAAATTATACATTTAACTATACTATAAGTTTATTATTCTTTTATTTTAAGATTTAATATGTAGAATGTACTATGCAGAATCAGGATGGAAATTATGTATTATAAGTTTTACTTTAGGGGAAGGCGTCATACTTTAAAAGTGATTACAGGGGAAATTTTTTGTTAAAGAGAAGAGATAAATAGATGATTGGAAAAGAACGGACAAAAGATATAAGCATAATGATTTTGAAATAAGATGAAATAAATAAAACATAATTAAGAGAGTGAAAAGATGGGAGAAGTTATATAGAAAATATAAAATGGTTAATAAGATATGAATGGTATATAAGGTGAGCATGAATTTGATTTAGGTCTGTTAAAAAAGATGTAACCCGGGGCTAAGCCACTTTTCAAAAGAAGTTTTATGTTTTGTGTTTTGATTAGTTATGTTTGATTGCAAACTAATAAAACCTTGGAGGAATGAAACCAAAGGGAGAGAAATTTGGAAAAGACGTGTATAAATGACAACTAAGGAGGTTTTTTTTTAATGTCTTGTTTTATGTTATGTATTCTGTGTGCTTATGACTGATTGAGAATTACTAAAACTTTGACAGAAAGAAATATAATTGAACAAAAGTGAAGGGAGAAATAATGAGAAATTTGGAAAAGATATATATGTGTAAATGGAAATGTGATAATGTGGAACTATGTTTTAAAAAATAATGCTTTATTTGCCTTGTTAAAATTTATAAGTAATTCTTAGAAAGGAGGTTTTATACTTTTATGTTTTATGTTTTGTTTGTCTTCAAAAATCAATAAAACTTGTTCTTAAAAAAAAAAGAATGTGGAACAACCTGCCCAGTTGCTACTGCTTCAGTTATATTCCAGTATTTGTTTTTATATAATGTCACATCAGTGACATTATATCAATTGTGGTGAGACTTGTAGTGCATTGTTATAATACATTTTCCTCTGTCATGCCACTTTGGTTTTCCTTATTCATTTGAACACGGCATGTGATGGCATTCTTACATAAAGTGTTCTACTCAAAAACAACTGCAAAAAGTTATCTTATTTTAGATATGCTAACCTGCCAATAATTCGTTTT